GGGAATCGGAAACAGACATGAGTAGGATGAATTCCAACTAGAAAGTGCTGAAAAGGATTTCCCGTGACAGGGTTGGACTGAAAGTGCTGGTGGAAGGCCTATGCTCTTCCACGAGAGGTAACAGGCGTAATTAAGTAAGTAAAAGCGATCAGTTATAAATTTCTCCCGTCAGCCTTAACTAAAAATGGTAAGTTCAAAAGTACATCTAGTGTTAGTAAAGCCCAATTTATATTTCTTTAGTTAAGATCTTCAAATACTAGGAAAAATACTAAAATTATTCGTTAACCATAGTTCAATTGTTAAAAGACAGATAGTTAGAACCTGTCTAACAACAAGTACACTGTTTGTTCTAATAGTAAAAGATGTGGTATCGTAAGAGATTGTATTCAAAATAACTTAATTTCATACAAAATATATTTAATACCAGGTATTGTGTAGTTCGATGTTACTGGATAACAATAACAATAAAAATTCTCCTGATATTTTAGGTTGTTCAAGAGTCCACACAAAATATTATAATGCACATTACCTACTGTAGCGGACAGGAAACCGAGCGGGGGCAATCGAATGTCGTTGACACGACATTACAGAGCATCTCACTAAAATCTGAGATCCATACAGTAAATAGTTAATTTGCAAAATATCAATCAACTTAACTGTTCATTTTGCAAATAACAGTCCATCGACTCAGATTTCATTGTTCATGGATTTTCAGGCCAACTACATTATGTCCCTGTTCTTTCCTTTTTGATCTTCTACTGAAATACATTCCATTCCTGACTATCTTTATATACTACTTATGTAGATATAAATAGCTTACACCACATCTACTACCCAATTAGATTTCGTTTAGATCATATGCTTATAAATTTGTCTCATACATTAATTATATCCACTACCTAGTAGAATGAAACTAGTACACTGTAAACAATTTAGTTGAAAAAGTTAATGCCTAAAGCACTTTTTTTCTAATTTGGCAAAAAAAAATACTGTAATTGTTTCACAACCTATTTAGTACATCCATTTCAAGGGCACTTACCGTTTAGATAAATGTTTTTTTTATTAGTTTAATTATCCCACTATTTTTTTTCCCGTTACCTACCAAATACTTTATTGATGCATGTGTTAATGACAGTTTAAGCAATGTTTTTTACTTATTTCATCTTCAAATTGTTCTAAGTGTTTTGATTGTGATACAGCAATAATTTGATATAGATAACGGTGAGTATGATTTCTAACTCTAGAAATTTAATTGTTTATTACGTATATGTAAGTTCTCATGGTTTTATCTTTCGTCTCAACCGTTGTTGCTACCATGACGTAGTGGTCGGGCTGGCCTATCAGGATGAATCAATTGAGCTATACTAGCTGGAACAATCATTCCTCAAAGTCCTATCATACCAGACAGGTAAATTGGAGAACGGTAAGACTAACCTCAGCAAACCCAAGGTCCGTAGGCGAAGTCGTACTGCTAACTGTACAGAGGTGTGGTAGCAGTAAGCTGTTTCCTTCAGACAACCAGCATAACAGCGATGCTGCCTTCCTACTAGGAGTGAGGTGGGGATAGTAAAGGTCGACTCCGAAAATGCCCACCTCGTCTTATCCCACGGATATTCGTCTCTGGAGTTAAGATCTCACCAAGTACGGAGCTAACACGACAATTACCAACAAAATGGTCATGTGTGACCGACCTCAAGCAGGTGTCCCTTGGGCACTGCGGTCACCCTCTCAGGTCACTAAGACCACCTCTAATCCAATTCCCTTCTCCGGTACCTCCAGAAGAACCCTTCCATTGTGTGAGCAACCGGGAAGTGATAACCGCCCTCATACCTCTAACAGCACTCAAGATTTTATCTTTCGTGAATCTGATATCAATATTCCTATCAAAGATATATATTTCACTCATTTAAAAATTAAATACGTTTATGAATTTATTTTTTATACTGGCACAGCAACATATTCTATATTCTATCTATTTACTGAATACATATTAAAAACATGATATTAAATTATATTTTGTTTAGTATATCAAAAGATATTAAAATTCCTTTCAACTTGTAATGCGGCTTAGTATTCTAATTGTCAGTAAGTCGATTATGACCAATGTAGGACCTAGCACAATTGTACATTAACCTAAGTTGTCATACCACATTAGCATGCTATGATGCACTTAAAAATATAGATATCAAAAGAGTCGAAATAATGAATAAGTATTTTATTTATAATAGTACATTTTTCACTATGTACTATAGCGGAAATAATAGTTACAAAATGCTTCTTATACAAAATTTCACTCTCTCTCTCTCTCTCTTGGTATACAGCCACTTGATGCCTAACCTAGTTTATCTTATCTATCCATTTAAGTTGGTCACACGATGTTATATATCTGAACTCAGTGGTGTCGATTGTTAATCCAGATATCATGTATTAAGATTCTAAATCATCCATTAATATAGAAAGATCCATGTATGACATGTTTATCACCATTCCATGAACATGGTTCACAGCCCACTGAATACATTTGGATATAGTGACCAAGTTCTACCTAACTAAAGACTTTTGCTATGAATAGCTAAAGCTTTAAGTTTGAATTTTATTTGTTCAGTGATTCAATTGAATTGTTTTTTGAAGTTAACAAGTCCAGAAAAGGATATACAGAAAGATGAAATTTTATAATGAATTCTATTTAAAACCATCTAATATATGAATACTTAGTATTTTACTGTTAGATGGCTAGTGATGATCACTAGTAAGTGAATCGTTAATCAAACTTTATCCTTGATGTTACTTTTTAGAGTGTCTGCCGCATAGACATAAAAGGTAAACATGAAAATTAGTACTAAATGTCTCTCAGAGTTACAGTGAAAAGGAATAGCAACTATCGAACTTATCAGAACTGTCTGTGAGTGTAGGCTTAGCTAACCGATTCAAATTTACAGTTTTAACTGACACTATGTGAAGTCATGAGTTAATCTGTCTATGGGTTGATGATTTAGTTAGATATATTATGCAAAAACTCAATAAGTTAATAACAGGTAATTATCTTAGTTCAAAATGATATGACAAAGCAATCATAAATATTCCATTTAAATGTGATTTACTTATTTTTAAGTTCAGAAAACTAAGTCACAATCGCGTAACTAGCCTATGAATCATGGGAACACTTGAAATAATTTTGGAAAACTTAATTACATAAATCAAAGTCGTCTGCAATGGCGCAGATGAATCCACTCTTTGTGTTCTCACAAATTCTTATCTTCTGAATTCGTCATGTCCATTTTTTTCTCTTTTCAAATTTATTTCACTGGATTATACTCGTCGAATAACATCTTCAAACTCTAATGTTTCCGATTACTACTTATAGTCTTACTACATCTATCACTACGGGATTTGAATCGACAAGTGCATCTCTGTGCCAATGTGGTTTGGCAACTCGAACTGATGTATGTACGAACGGATTTCTATGTTGTTACTGACTGACTGAAACTATTCTGAGTGAGTTAATTAGTTGGTATGTCAAAGAATCAAATAAAAAACCTAATGGATTACTGGTTTAGAAATTGACAACGAGGGAAGTGTATTTGGAGTTATAAGAAACCAGTGAAATGTAGATTAATGAATTAGTGATAGTGTTTATACGTACCTCTATGTAGGCAAGTTCAAATACATTTATTCACCAGCGATTTAAAATAATTTCGATATCCTTATCTTGTATCAAGTACAAAATTTTTTAAAGAGATAACTAAAGAAGCTCAAATCTTTTTGAACCAGCTGACAACTATTGAAACACATGACAATAAACTGAATCTCAACATTTTTATGTTAAATTCTCCCCCCCCCCGAGCTTTTACACATTACATCATAATGAGACAATGGTTGATTCAATTTTCTTCCATATAATGTTTTAGTTTTTTCAGTCTAACTATTCATTTACACAGTAGTTCAGTCTTAAAGTTGTATATAATTAATCTATCATCTGTTATCTTTGTTGTATTACAAAGGCTTTTTACAGGAATTTATGGGAAATAATGAATGTCGAACAATTTAAACCACTATCTCTTAATTCAGCTAACATGTAATTACCAAATGACTTGCTATAACTGAGATTATTAGATAAATTTACTCAATTTATTCAATCATTGAAATTTTTGGTAGAGATTTTTCGGAAAAAAAACGAGTGTTGACATAACTGCAGAAAAAATAGGTGCCTAACTCTTAAACCCATGAGGCGAGATCGTGGATGCGCACTGTCAAGGAGGAGTCCCATAATAGGATCAAACAGCCGTCCAGTGCTTCCAAGTTTTCTATGCTGGTCTAGCTTCAATTAACTCATCATCTTAACTATTGAAATTACTATAATATCCACAAAATCCCCCTCTGATACTAATCTTACTCTTTGTTATTATCGTCGATAGTGTAAAAATAATATTACGAAAATGAATTTAAATGATATCACCATTTTCATCATTTAAAGATTGACAAAATTTGACAGATTTTGTTTGAATATACTTTCTTAGTTCATTCTCTTTGTCATTATGGGATGTACACATAGACGTTTAACCTGATTTATAGTGAGGAAGTTCAGTATTTTGTTATAAATATTCATGAAATTTAATTACTTCTCTCTTAAATTGATTCATTGGTAAAACTGTCGACTTCGATAAACAATAATATACTATAATCGTTGAAATCATGAGTTAATTGAAGCTAGACCACCATTGAAAACCTGGAAGTACTGGACATCCTTTTCATCCTACTGTGTGACTCTTCAGCAGTACGCACCCACGATCCAGCCTTACGAGATTCTAACCTAGGACCTGTCGAACTCGAGCCCGAATACTTAACCTCTAGACCAATACAGACAACTGAGGAGTCTCACAATAAGATGAGACGGTTATTCAGTCCATCAAGGTTTTACATGATGATCTACCTTCAATTAACTCATGATCTCAACTATTGAAATAATATATATTAAATAAAAAAAATTTCTTTTTACTTACGTATAAATCTAAATGAAGTTTATATAGTTACATCGAATCTTAATTAAAAGGAATAGATGATGAATCATTCCATATATGTAATGAAGGTACAAAGAATAATGGAAATAGAGAATAATTTGAAAGATATTGAAGTGTAAACATATTCATACTAGTTCAATAGTATACTCTATAAACCAACCAATCAGAGTACTCATTTCTTAATTCTTACTGGAGGAAATACTATTTGAATGAACCAATGAAATGTAAGACTTTCCAGTGTATTAATTTATCGATTTTGATTCGTGATTTTTTTTCTCATATTTATAATTAAGCAATTATTATGATTCATTATAGTATTGATTTCCGATTTGTCCTAAGGTCAAAACAAAAATGATCAAATTCGAAATGATATCATCAGGAAGATTCTTTGATTAGTTTGATTTTCATGTAATTTATTTTTGAGCAAATAATAACACTGTTGGATATCGGCAAGTTCAGTGGTTCGAATTTCACGAAGCGACGGGATCGTGGATTCGCACTGCAAAGGATAAGTCCCACAATAGGACAAAACATCCATCCAGTGCTTCCAGGTTTACCATAATGGTCTAGCTTCATTTAACTCATCATCTCAACTATTTAATTTACTACAATCTCCACAAAACTGTTCTTTGATTATAATCATCATGCGCTCACTACTGTCTGTATCCAAGAGTTATTTCCCGGAGTTCTAGTGAAATGCAGTGATAAGTGGATTTCAACCGGGTCTGTTGTGAGATAGTAACTTACTGAAGACAATAGTGAATATGTCGCTCAATTTCGTGGACTGGTCAACTCATGATATCAATCATTGGAATATTTATTGTCAACTATTTTCTTTCCTATGATCATCAAGATCAAGATAAAATCTTCATTAAAATTAATGTCTAACTGTTGTGGAAATTGTTGAACTTCACTGAAATCATGAACTGATCAATCTTAGACCACTATTGATAACCTGGAAGTATTGAACGGTCGTTTTGCTTGAGATCAAAGATGCTGAATTCAAGTCCTGCATATGGGATTATGGATGCACACTGCTGAGGAGTATCATATTCGGAATAAATTATCTTACAGTCTTTCCAGATTTTCATTGGTGGTCTAACATTGATCGGTTCATGATTTGAATAAAATTTTACAAAATGAATTAATGATGAACCAAGTTTATGATGACTTGTGTAACTATTCATGTCCTGATTAATTCATTTTGGTTTGAAATGTACAAATGAAATCTTGATTTAGTTAATTAACTCGAATGTAAATGATTTCAGAGCTCATTTTTATTTAAAACTCTAATTTATTTTTATTTTTTGACTTGATAAATTGCACTAGCCTGACTTTGCATTGTTACAAATAACCACATTAGTCTGACTAAACATTCATCCAGATTGTAAGCAACAAATACATCAAACTACTAATAAACTGAAATTAAATCTATGTAACAAGCAGAAACATTACGAAAATTGACGTGAGACGAAAAAGAATGCCTTTAATAGCTGATAAATAACGACATCCTGAAATCCTCGACAATATGTAACATGTGCTCGAAAACCCATGGTTTAACGTCCTGACCGTGCCGTCATGATTATAATGAGAACGCAGATTACTATAGAGATTTTCTCAGAAATGAGATCCTGAATAATTGTGTTGACAGAAGTTTTTGACCATGATGTTGTACTTGGAAAAAGTCACTTAATAATATTTATGCTTTTTATGCATCATTCTGAAGGAGCATTACTGTTATATCCTAGTGAAGATTAAATTATGGGTATACTGTGAGAACTATTAATGGACTAATATTATCTATATATTCTTATGGCATAACTATTTAGTAATTAGATTATGTATACTTATATTCCTCTTATTATAAGCTTCATCTCGACCTACAATTTATTATTATACGACTTACTGTTCTTAAATTATACTCAGTTTATTAATTACTGTCTCCCATGTTCACAGACGAATGAGAACCGGTACTTTCAACGTGGTTCACGTTCACAGCCACTTTTTGGCTTGATCTTGTATAAATGTTATTTTCTATTTTATAGTGTGATACGGTCTGTTTGACTGATAAGTAAACCATATATATCTGGAATAAATGATTCGCATAGCGGAAGCTGTTATTGATGTTTAGGACTCAACTGGATGAGCTAGGCGACCAAAGAACCAATAAGGACGCTAGGCTTATCAATCCGGTCGAACGTCATCGGTTTAGCACCGTACAAGAGTGATTAAGTCGTATTTCGATTGCCGAATCAATTACGTAATAACAAGCGAGCCAAAAAGTCACAACAATTACCATCGCTAAACAAGTAGTCTTTCGAAGTCTACAATTTATGTAACAAATTAAATGAATAGAAATCAACCTTCTGAGTGTTGAACATCATTCAAAACCTTTTTTAGATCACGTCACTAATGAATATGGGTGTCAACTATGATATAATAACATTACATATAAACGAAATACACTTTAGAAACAGAAACGATACCAGCATGATAGGTAAACAATATCACAAATCACAAATCTATTTATTTGCTTAAACCTAATCGAATTAATTTAACCTGATAATATGTAAACAGTATTTTATTGATCTACATTATGATGTAATATTGACTTTTTTAAAAAATATTGAAGAATAGAGAAGACAAGACTGTTATTCTGATGTGAACTGGTTCAATTCTTAAATAATGCAAATAGTATCATAATTTAGATTCCTATTCAAAATATGAGTATCCCCCGAATGCCCTGGTACGGCCAAGAGTGGGGAAAGTCAGCCCACACTCTCGAAATGCCCTCATATGGCCACGTGCATACAACCAATGCCACACAAGTCCTACTCACTGCCTTCTCGAGGCACTACTGTTGTTTGCGAAATCGAAAGAACGGAAAGCAAATGTCCGGTGATTAACCGGTTTAGTGGATACGGAGGGTTTGCATAGAGAAGTTGGAAAACCCTAATTCCGAATCAATGGTTCACATGGGTTCAAGGATCCTAAGAAAACAAATGGCATATGAATTAGTCGTTGGTCACCAGCTACCATAGGACTACATCTCCTAACGTTGCTCCACTGTCTTCTGGATTAAACCTTTAGGTCGAAGGCTCGGTATGTGGACCCCTAAGAAAACCACCTGCTTCGGTTTCGGCACCCAGGCATTATTCCAGTCCTCACATAAATCGAATGACTTATGTGGCGCATATCTATTTGATGCCTCCTTGTACCAATGTTTATATGTTTAAATAAATTGAATAAATCCCTTGGTTTACTGGAGGACTCAGTATTAAATAATTCGGAAATTCAGCATCCCATGTCAATCCAGATTCTAAATAGTTAGCAAGTTATGATAATCATTTTCAAGTGAACCGATTACTTTCAGTCTACCTAAGCACTACATACTACTAAGTTTAGTCTTCTACTATTAGTAATCCACACGCTTAGGTGATAATAATCATAACCTGATCAGAGTTAAAATAACTAAACCTAATTTTATGTTCTAATGAATTATTTCATGTTTGCTTCAATACGATTCAGAACAATGTGGTATTCTCATTATGAGTTTGCTTTAGTTTCTTAACTAACCATCAAAAGATAACAGACAATGAAGTACAATTATGTACTATGGTGTTGTAATTAAATCCACTTACCAGAATTATGTGATATATTAGGATGATAAATTTCAAACAAATTAATTACATATAGTGTTTTAAGAACATTTCTATATAAATAATTAACGGTCGTCTGGAGATATTGGAAGGTTAGATGATACAAAGATATATTAGTGTGAAAACCTATGTGAAACTCATCATTCAAGATAATAAATCAATATTAAAAGGGTAGGTATGTTTCAAATTGATTTCTTTATTACAGTTGTTTCATTCTATCTTTTAGTTAGTTCAGCTGACTTCTAATTTTTCACATAATATATAGTGACAAGCCGTAACCAGTACAGTCCAGCAATGTCTGGTGTAAGATGGTCATCCATTTCAGACAATAGGTGACCAAGTAATATTGCTAATTAATTGAAGTTAGACTTCTAGACAATTGGACCTCACCTCGGTAGTTTATGGGTTAATCATTTGCACACAAAACCGATGGCCTAGGGTTCGATTCCCGCTATCAGATTCGTGTATGCGCATTAATGAAGAATCTCAAAATAGAGTGAAACACCCTTAGTGATTTAAACTATGCATATATGAATGTCTCAAAGAGTATATGTGTGGTCGATTTGTTCTAGATGTATTGCGCTAATGAATAACATAAATTTGGTTATCTTCGTCTTTTCATCATCTAAATCTATCAAAGCGATTAATTATTGGAAAACCGATTTAGTTACTTAAAATTCACAACTTGTAATTCGTTGAGATCCCTAAGTGATAATAGATTGGTCATTACTCTTCGGTGAGATGACTGTGTAAGCTTCCTTGAAAATGTTGTTCTTCCGATTTTCTCTCTTTAAGTTTGATTGTATAATTAGAAAGTGGACCTCATGACCGATCGGCAGTGTTCGAACCGATCACAAAAGACGAGTAGATCTTCATCACAGAAATTAGAATGCAACCTAAATATCCATAAGATTGGTTCAATAGAAATATTCACTAATATACCATAAAAAAAGGACAGTTCCCTGTTGTTCAAATATTTTGACATTTTACATCTTGTTTCATTTTAACTCCTTATTTTTATCCCTGTGAATAAGTCCAACATTTTCATAAGCATGTATTCCGTATAAGTTGAAACGCCAGTCAACTGTGACATGATTTTCAATAGTTTCTTGGCAAAATTTAATTATTGAATATCTATTAATTTTATTAGTTGAGATCATGAGTCAATCGAAGCTAGACCACCATGGAAAACATGGAAGCACTAGACGGCTGTTTCGTCCTATGGTGGGACTACACCTTGGCAGTGCGCATCCACAATCCCACCACTTCGCGAGATTCCAACACAGGACATATCGGTCACGCGCGCGAGCACTTAAACACTAGAACACTGAGCCGACCAGAATCCAGTGGTGTTAATGTCTAACTCCAAATAATCCACGAAATTGAGTGACACATCCATCATTGTCTTCAGTGATTTACTATCTCACAACAGACCCGGTTGAACTCCACTGGTCACTGCTTCTCACTGGAACTCCAGGATACATCACTTGAAGCCAATCACTAGTGAGCATATGTTGATTAATATCAGAAGGGGTTTTATTAATCATAATTAAAATAACCCGTCTTATATATTTTTGACTCATCAACAACACTAGTAATATTATATATGAAAATTATGAAGTTCAGTCCTCTACCAAGTAGTCTTTTATAATGAGTTATTTGGCATGAATAAGAACATGGTTTCAGTTTGTATGGAGCAGTTATTGACTAAAAGGGGTAAAAACGTAAATACCTCTTTCCAGTCCAGATTCATCCAAATGGTGAGTTTTAGAAAGGACATAAGGTGGTGAATAGAGATAGGTCACGAGAAACTCTGGAGTTAGCTCTCATGCTATTTGGCACTTACCACATCATGTACCTGTAATCATGGGGAAACTGATGCTCTCTGACGGATTCGATCCTGTGTCACGTAGATTAACAGTCACAGATGTTTCCACTGACATCCTGTAGGACTGAGATGTATTTACAATTGACTGATCACTGGATTGTAATAAATGTCATTTACTGATGACTACCTCTAACCACCACCTTACATCTCAACATAGTGCACGCGATGTCGAGTCACCTATACTAGTGGCTACATTACAACTTGATCCATAAAATTCGATCTGCACTAAAATGGACCTCACACACATAAGATTAGTCACTACCCGGTGATCAGTCAAGTGTATAAATAACATAATATGAATTCAGTATTTCACGTTCATTGAGTTTTATCGAGCCACTGTTTTTTTATAAGAAAATATTGAGTGTTCCACTCGATTATTAATTGATTTCGAGCCGTAAATAATTGAAAATATTTTATTTATTTATTTATTTCAACACATAGATAATGGTACAAAGAGGCACCAAATACATATGCACCACACAATTCTCATTCGATATGTTTGAGGGCTGTGGTACTGCCCGGGTGCCCAAACCGAAGCAGGTGGTTTTCTTAGGGAGCCACACCCCGAGCCTTCGACCTGAAGGTCTGATCCACAAGGCAGTGGAGCATCGTAAGGAGATGCAGTCCCGTGGAAGCCGGTGACCAACAATTGGTTCATACACCATTTGTTCCTTCAGGATACTGGAGCACATGTGCACCATTGGTTTGGAATCCGGTTAAATTGCCGGACATTCGCTTTTCATCCTCCCATTTCCGTAAACAACACCCTCGCCACGAGAAGGCAGTGAGTATGACTTCCCTGGCAGAGGCTATATACTCGTGGCCGTGTGAGAGCATTTGGAGAGGGAGAGCGGACTTACCTCACTCTCGACCGTACCAGGGCATTTGGGGGCTATGCATTTGTCAACAGAAAGTCATGAAGTGAATTTGATTGAAAATATAAGTCATTGAATCCGAATTTAAAGGTCCAAGTGGATCATGCTTGCCTCAAGACATCAAAGTCGATCTGTGGCGCGCGTTATAGATAATCGTCACACAGTATTCTCAAACTAGTCCAATAAATCAGCCTATTGAGCAGTCGTTTTGAATGGTGCATCAAATGAAATCATCTACATTTACACGACGCTGATTGAATTTTCGCTCGTATTATGATTACTAACCTCATAGATTTTCCTAAATTGTATTTCAACTAATTTGAATAATACTGCTCTGCTTGTCATCCGATTCAAAGTAAGTAAGTACAATACTGATAAGTTTATAAACTGCAAAGAGCACACTTGTCCTTTGCTACTAAATCTTTATTGAATCTGAACCCGACTTCCCTTAACGATGAATCGTGATTTGTGTAGACAAATTTGGACAAGGTGACAGCAATTAGGTTCTTGATAATATAGGCCAGATTTAAGTATTTCCACTGTTTGTGGGTATACTTTAACGCATAAAATCTAAACTTAGATTGTAAATTTCTTAACATATTTACAATTTTTATTAAAGTTAGGCTGTGCAGCCAAATTGTAAACATACTGTAAACACTGTGTTAATGATATTTCGAAGGCTTTTTAAACTTTCACAAAAGTTTACAACTAAAGAATGTTTCTCATTAGATAATTAAGATTTTCAACTTCTTAGACAAAAAGTATTTTCCGATAATTTCTCAATTAGTGTTCTTTGAAGAAAGATTTGACAGGCGTATTGTTCAGCCAAGTTCGGATATTCTTTCTTATCAATCCAAAAATGAGTTTTGATAGGAAGATTTATTCAGCTGATTTATTTTAAACATTGCTCGGTCAGTTTTAATTCACAAGCGGATATTTTAAAATATAATTAGTTTAAAATTAAGGCGCTAGAATTCATTAATCTGATGATAACTTTGAAAAACAAAACAATGTTTAATGAGTTAGTGATAACAAAAACCTATGACTTACATTAGTATCCGCAAGAACACTGATGTCTCGTTTTTTATTCTTTGAACTAAATTTTAAGTCATAAGCAAAGATGGATAGTGGCTAGCAGTGGAATCCAGGGCGCGCGTTCCGTCCCGTTTGGGACTCGTCAGCTGGATGTACCTGCATCTCAGATTTGGTGTTCACTCTGGCACTCGAACTCAGTACCGTTCGCTTTAAACGCCATCGCGTTATCCACTTAACTACTAAGTCCTGATAGCCACTTGCTTGTGCGATGGGGTGAAGTTTAATTCACTTGGTATTGTTTCACTTGAATCTTCCCATTGATGTTTTTGGACTGAAATTGATCAGTCTGTTATTCTCATATGTGCATGCTGTGCGTATGCCTCGATATTGCCTTAATTTACAAGCATTATAAACAAAGAAGGATAGTGGCTAGCAGTGGAATCCAATGGAATCAATGGGAAGATTCAAGTAAAACAATACCAAGTGAATTAAATTTTAAGTTATTGTTTGCTGCAGATTCATATAAATTAAATGACAAGTTAAAATTTCAGGTCACTAGATATTTTCATAACATTTATTCATACTCTTGACTTATTTTGAAATTTGCTATATACTGGTCTACTCTGATGTTCACGCAGCTATCGAGTGAAGATCTAAAGAATCTACTAATCTATGGTGAATAAGTTAGATAAGAAGACTTTAAAAGATGACTCAATGTGAGAGATCAACAAATTAAGATAAGTGCACATAATGTATAACTTTGTAATGAAGAAATATCAGGAATAAAATCATAATAGATAACTGTTCATGTACATGTCATACATATAACTGTGAAAACATTACAACTCTAAAAAAATTAAGTACATGATACGAGGATTCCAAGCGGTAACGATGTGTACGGCAAGTAATTTTTTAATGATAAATACTGTTAATCAGTTTATTCCTTAGTGCCAACTGAATACTATTCACCTCAAAAATTTTTCTGGATCATCTAACAAAGCATCGAGAAGTATCGAAAAGGTTGTTAATCAGGCTGATAGAATAATAAATCCTGTTCTATCTGTAAATTAGTTACTTGAAATATAAATATCATCGTTCAGTAGAATGGTCACACATGTAACGATTTGTTTGACTTTCTACTCACTACTTCTAATTTGTATAGGACTAGTGATCATTATTCTACTCTACAGTTTTCATTTCGTCTTATAAAATCCAAATAAGCACTATTCAAACTAGATACTGAATTGCATGTTTTATTACTGTTATATCCCAATGAGAATAATGAATGGTAACTGTTAGAATCTATTTCTGGACTAATACTATACGCATATTCTTTATTGTATAATTGTCAAGTAATTAAACTATTCATACTTGTGTTCCTCTTATCATAAGCTTTATTTCGACCTATAAACTATCATTATATGAATTACCATTCTTGAGTTATGCCCAGTCTATCGATTACTATCTCCCACATTCACAGCCACTTTTGGCTAAAGCTTGTACAAATGTTGTTTCCTATTTTATGGTACGATGTGATCTCTCTGGTTGGTATGTAAACCCAGTATGTTTGGAAGATATGATTTATATCGTGAAGGCTGAGATTGATGTTCTGGACTTAACAGGGAGGGCTAGGCGGGGAGCAGGACCGATAAGGACTCTAGACTGCTCGTACTTGTTTTATGTGTCATTGGTCCGGTCGATAAATCACTGTTCTCTAAATGACGGTCTCATTAAGTTATATATTAATAGGACACAGGGCACAAGTTATAATAATTACATTACAAACACGTTGTGGAGCTTGATTATTGGGACGCAAACGTAATTTTTATAAAAATGTTCGATACTAATACTAATCAAAGGAATCTCTTAGCTGTTACATAAACCAAAAAACATTTGTGTACAAATTCATAGTTGAAAATATATTTCAATAAAGAGACTTCAATATCATAAATTAGTTCACGATTGTGGAGATAACTCTAACAAGCTTATCTTGTAAATAGTTTCTAATATTATTTGTATTTATTTTGTCAATTTCTCACCGCATGTACATTTATTATTAAATGATTGTACCTGTTGTTTAAGTTAATGACCTTGAGCACCTTTTTCCGCTGTAATTCGAGCATAGCGTGACATATGCTTACCGGCTAACAAATACATTACTACTCACACATCCCTCGTTCTATTTCCATTTGTGATCGAATTAGCTGAATTCTAAATCAAATATTATCATTATTTATAGACTGTAATTGGAATACATCACATTCTACGTCGGATTATAACACCAGAGAGTTCGCCAACCTGTTTGGAATTATTAAACATTTATAATTGTGGATTTACATTACCGGACCGAATCAGAACACGCAGCGTTTGGTCAATTTAAGTAACGTCCCTATTTTTAGTGTATTTGTAACAATTAACTGTATATATTAATATTACTATTGATCTTTAGTAACTTTGTTTATACTTTTTGCGTTCATATTTATTTGGTCCACCACACGATTCATTTCCCAGTAGGTTTACAGGTGATCTACAATATTGAGATACTCTGAAAGTAATCAAAGTATGATTATTCACTAATCATTTACAACATATTTCCATGCCACACTAATTGACAGTTATGAAGAAATCTGAACAATTCGAAACATCCTGTGACCCAGATCAACCATAATTACATAATCATTTTCAGTGCACACCCAAATCAATCGATGAAACTTATCGATTTGCAATTCATATCATGCGTTAGCTTCAAAATGGTCAATTTCTCGAGAAATATGAGCGTCTACATCATTGTAGGCAAGATAATTAGTCAGCTTTTGGAAATGAATTGAAAATCTATGCATTTGTTTTTCTTGATGATGTACTGACCAGAAAGTGTCATAGCAATCTGAACTTTGATTAGTTCACCTGATTTAAATGTATAATTAACCTTGATTAATATTTCCAGGTTTCTTGTGAGAAGCAGTGACCAGTGGAGTTCAACCGGGTCTGTTGTGAGATAGTAAATCACTGAAGACAATGATGGATGTGTCACTCAATTTCGTGGATTATTTGGAGTTAGACATTAACACCACTGGATTCTGGTCGGCTCAGTGTTCTAGTGTTTAAGTGCTCGCGCGCGTGACCGATATGTCCTGTGTTGGAATCTCGCGAAGTGGTGGGATTGTGGATGCGCACTGCCAAGGTGTAGTCCCACCATAGGACGAAACAGCCGTCTAGTGCTTCCATGTTTTCCATGGTGGTCTAGCTTCGATTGACTCATGATCTCAACTATTGAAGTTTGATTGATTAGTTGAGCAGTGATGTACAATATATTTTGTTCTGTAATTAGGTACGACTGTAATTAATTTTATTGATGCTTGGTTTCACGTTAGATGCAATAGAAAAAAAAACTAATGTTTAGTTCATTTCTTCCTATCACATTCATCTTCATCCTGACTGTTATATTTATTGGTTTAACTTGATTAAATTAATTCAGATTGTGGTATTGTGCTACACAAAGTCAATTTTTAGACTCACTAATCAAAATTAACATGTTTTTGAAAGATTTTGGCTCTGTGAATGTTTTTCAGATGGTTGTTTATATTGTTGCAATCGGATACACATATCATTAAAGCAGTCTTCCTGTTTGATAACTGGGATGATTCCCCAGTATTTCCAAATTATTTCTGAGCTTGTGTTTGCTGTGGTCATCAGCTTCAATAAACAAATATAGAATGGATTAGTGATTTCATGAGTTTTATTGGTGAGAATATATGATGCCAGTATCAACAATAGTAACGGTATCATTCAACGATGTGTTTTTTTATTCAGAAGCAGCGAAGATTATTTAACATTCTCAAAACATATCTAGTAAATAGTTGAAGTTGGTCGGTGTTATTTTTAGGCATCCATCAAACATTCAATTCATAATTACCTAAGAGGATCTAAACTTCGTTTTTCAAACAATTTACACCTCAACGATTGAATTCACTAGTCAATTGAAGCTAGACCACCATGAAAAACCTGGAAGCACTTGATGGCCGTTTCATCTTAATATGGAACTACTCAGCGGTGCGTATCCACGATCCCGCCCGTGAGATTCGAACCCAGGACCTATCGATCTCGTGCCTGAACGCTTGACCTCTAGACCAGCGAACCTGTCAGTATCCAACGGTGTTAATGTCTAACTTCAACCTCAAAATCCCTCTTCTGATAATGTAAACCTTGTTAATTTGGTAGTCGGTTAACCAACGCCGATGATAATATCTCATTACAT